TTGCACGACGATCGATCAGGCGTTCGATTTTCCTCGTCCATTTTCAGAGGATTATCCGGAAACGTGAGCACCTGATCGAAAGTCCACCGTGTAAGTGACAAATTTGAGCGGAGCAAAGGGGGTTCGCAGCCGTAGGAATCATGGGCAATCGATATCATGTATTTATTAATATAATTGGAATTAATTTCGCGAAAAACATAAGAACAGGTTTGTGCTAACTTAGTTTGATATTCTAGTTTATGAGTGGTGTCCCCGTGGATGAACCGCGGTTGTCCATAGCTTGGAATGGTCAGGCAAAAGTGACGATGATTATGCGTTTGTTCGATGCTCGCGGCTTATCTCCGTTGAAAAATAATGAAGCCACTGATTCTCAGTTTTTCGTTCGGATTTTACAGAACTGTGTAGTCACTTGCCATGTCATATTCCAGGAACAAGTATGCACCGTAGGTGAGGAGATTAAGAAAATGAGCTTGGTCTTATTAGATAGACAGGTTGAGTATAAACTGTTTATGCCAGCCATTGAGCCTCTCGTGTGGGAGATGAAACACAACAGACGTCAATCAGGAAGTCAGCAGATGAGGTAGAAGCAGTTTTGCATTCGGAGTCAAAATGTTCCTTCTAAGATGCAGCAATCAACACCTTAGGGCAAAAGTGTTGTGTAGCTGTGAATACCAGGGATATGACAAAGCACATACTTTCTCCTATGCAAACGGCATGAGGTAACGATCACAGATACACAAAACGCTTTTCTGTACTTTAAACTTTGTCGGCGTTCGCTTCACACTACCAGGTGTACAGTTCAGAGTTCATGACGTGCCTTGGTGAATTCTGCGTGTACTGCATCGTCCAGCGATAAGCTACTTTTAATCCTTTGACGTTTGGTACATTTCTCCCGTTTGGTTTAATGTTTCGGGATTGAAAAGCGAAAGCTGCAGTGATCTTAATGCGTGTAATCATGACTAGCACAAAACACCCTAGGCTGTCCTTCTCGTCCTACTTTTACTACTACAGAATGCTTACGGCTCCCAACATTTTTGGTAACTAGAACTAATGGCGAAGCGGTTCAAGGCCACCAGCCACCGGGCACCTAACTTCGCTCGCGAAGCGCTCAAGACACGATTCTTTGCATCGTCGGTTACCGCTCTACCGCTATAAGACGGGCTCTGGTGGATTACGAACCCGTTGTGGTCTCTCAGCCGAAAACTGAAGAAGAGTACCGGCACTCGACGAACGAGTAGCAGTACTACTTCGGCCTGCCCTTTGGTCAGCAACGATGACGAATCGAAGCGAAGTTCACAAAGCCTACCACTTTCCGGTTCTTCAGCCGCTGTCGTTCGCATCACTAATATCGCGTCGCCTTCCGGTTTTTGATGTTTCGTTTTTCTGTGTTGAGTACGCGAATAAACATGTGCGCTGTGCACAGTCTCGGCAACGATCGTCGAACGTCCGTCCAGTCGGTGTGCGGTTTTTCCTACGTTCTCCAAAGCCGCACTCTGAACCGTTTTTGTACGAACGGACGGTGGTGCCAAGCCGTCAGCTTTTAGCTTTCGATTACGTTTCGTCTAGACGTCGGTTTCTTCGGCCGTTACACCCTGTGCCGTTGCTGTTGCTGCCTGCAAAGCAGCTTTTCTACTGTTGCGATTACACAAGCGGTGTGTGGTGGTTGGAATTGTGTTCCGATCACCGATCGGTGCTGGTCGAATCGGACCGACCTGTCATGACAACTGGCTTGAGTTTGTCATCTTGGCATAGAACCTTAAGGTACGGAGGTAGGTGGGGTGGTCCGTGATACGAAAACATCTGAGGCACTGAAAGGAAATATTTATAGAACCACAGTCACGTATATCGGCGGATGAGGAAAATGGAGGAAAGGAGGAGGAGGAGGAGGAGGTTGGCACTATTAAAAACACTGGTTGAGCAT